GGGACGATATCATATCTCATCACAAAATGCATAAGTACTGCGACCAATTCTCTCTCGTAAGAGCATGGTTGAAGATGAAATCACCGACGAGAGGCGATCCGAAAGTCAAAGAGGCGACATCGAAGTTTTATCAGGTTACAAGTACTGCGCCAAGAACCAAACTGTTGCTAGAATAGCAACGGCATCATCAGAGGAATGTCCAGTAAAAACTATCTTCTTCTTCTCCAGTATAGCTTTTTCCACCTGGGAAATATAAAAAATCATAGGGAACAACTTCAAGCTATGCTCATTTACTTTCACAAATCCATTATTTAGGCCAATGGTTAGCATTTTAACTGCCCTTTTAACACCATGTGAGCTTAACAACAAAAAAATTTATTTAAGTTTGATTCAGTCAAAATTCAATCTAACACTCAAATCAAAATTTTAATGAGTTAAAATGAACTATTTGATACTTGACTTTAAAAACCAGCGATCAATTCGAAAAAAGAATTATTTATATGTTTTTTACGTGTTCAGATTCAAACTCAAGTTCAAATTTCATTTTCAATTAAACTAAGTCGTAGAATGATTTGAGTTCAAGATTTTTCTGAGCTCAAGTCGAACTTTAGTTTTTGATTGCGAGTTAAACTTGAAAATTTTAAATTTCCAAATTAAACTCAACTTTAAATTTTTCGAATTAAGTGAAACTTAACACTACTGGAACATGAATCATAAACATCCGGATGCATGGATAAGTATGAGCACAAATATAAGTATGTGAATAATTAGAAGTCGGGAAAAACGTAGACAGAAATATGACGTCATTGGCAGCCAATGTATACCTCAGATGGAAGCGAAGATGTGGCCAAAATCCACTCAAATCTTCTCAAGAACCCTTCGTTAACAGTCTCAAGTTCATCACGACCAATACTTCTAAGAGATGTGGCGACTTCATCGTTTCCCTTGGGACACAGCAAGTCAGACTGGTCAACCTTGATTTCCCCGAAAGGTTGTCGAGTGAACCAGTGAGCGGCAGACCAGGATCCGGGGAAGCTGAAGAAGACATCGGAAGAGGTACGAGAATATTCTACGAGGAATGGCTTATCCGGTGACTTGTGTGCTGCCATGGAAACTAAACATGCTTTCTTGACAAGTTCTTCACTGAACCCTGAAATTTCCTCAAGCGTGAAGCTACCCATTTTTCCTCTAGAATTTGCAAACAAGTTTTAGAAGCTGGGATTTTTTATTTCTTTCTTTTCTTGGCTTAGAGGGACTGAGGCAGGTGAGTGGCGAGAAAGTACAGGGAAACTGGCTTTTACACAAATTGACCATTTCAATTGCTTGTTGATTGGTGCAGGAGTGGGGTTTACCTTCATTTATCTAATATTAAGGGTAAACTACATACTTAGTCGCCCACATATTTTTACTATTTCGTTTTAGTCATCCAACTTTTGTTTTAAAATCATGCACAACGTTACGTTTTGGTCACCTGCAGTTTGAAATAAAATAAAATATCGATGTTACAATTTTTTCATTTTTTTAATGATGATATGATATTAACTTATGGTGAAAAGTCAACGTGATCGTTAATTTTTTAATAGCCGATGACTAAAACAAAACTAAACACAACATTAGGTATGATTTTGAAAATGAATAGTTGGATGACTAAAATGAAACCATGAGAATAGGTGGGTGACTAAACACCAAATTTACCCTAAAGTTAAATATATTGTGTTTGTTACTTAATATTTGTGAATATACTTATTTAATATTTATATATATTTAAATAAAATATTTGAAAATAATTAAAATTTTATTTATAAATAAGAAAGAAAGAAACTTAATCCTAAACTTTTTTATCTACAATATCTTCCAAAGGCTAAAATATTAAACAAGTCTTGGAATTATTTCACTTTTTAAAATAAATATTTATATTTGAATATATTTAAATTAATTGCACACAATTATGTGTTATGAATGTGATATAAAAATTAAAATATAAATGATATAAATATATATTCAAAAATTAATTATTAAAATTTAATAAAATTATAAAAAAATTTAAACACAGTTTGTTTTTTTAGTAAAAATATGTGTGAAGATAACAATAATCTTCTACTTGCTTGTATGGATTAACTTTCGATAAAACTTTTTAAAAGGTTATGGATGATGAATATTACTATATTTCAATGTATTAGATAAAAGATAAAATGTGAAAATTAACCATTAACGTTTACTAAAATAATTATTTTAATTTCTATTTTTTAGAGTATTTTAACTCTCAAATGTTTTATTTTAGATAAAAAGGCTTATAACGTTTGATCAAATAGTTATTTTTGCCCTTTTTTATTTTTTTGGAATATTTTGACATTTTCAATTTCATTTTAGAGTAAAAATACTCATATTTTGAAATGCTAATTATTTGTTAACTGATAATTTCCATCTATAAAAGGATATTTTTAGCTCAAAATAAAACGTTAAGGACTAAAATTTTCTAAAAAGTATAGATGAAAATAATTATTTGATTAAACGTTAAGAACTTTTTTCATATTATACATAGGTAAAAATAAATTTTTAAAAGAAAATAATGATTGTTAAATATCAATTTTAGGAATAATGAATGAAAATAAAACTTTAATAATAAATGATGGATTATAACTTTTAGGCTTAAACTAAAAATTGGTACTCCACTATGCTTTTTTTAGTACATAAACTATTTTTTTGGTTAAACTAAGTCCTTAAATTATTATTGTAATCATATTTAAACTATTTTTTTTATCAAAATAAGTCCTTACATTATGATTATTTTTTACTTTAAGCCTCTAAATTATTTTTTTAAGTCTAAATAAGTGTCTAACTTTGTGTGACGTGTCAACACCTTATTGGTCGAAAAAAAAATTCTAACTGAAAAAATGACAATATTTTAAATGTTTAAATATAATAATTTAATGACTTAGTTTAACAAAAAAATAGATACTTGAAGCAAAAATAATACATAGTTTGAGCAATGGCGAATACAAAGCATACCCAGCACCCTGAAATTAAAATTTCTTTATATTAGTTATTCATTTTACTATGAGTGTTCACCTCATACGAAAAATTTTAATACTTAATATATGTGTGCCTCACACAAAAAAAATATTTTTAGATCTGTCACTGAGTTCGAGTACCTATTTTTGCTTTAAGTGTAACTTTTATTCTAAAAATTATATAAAAAAAAACTATAGAAAGTTCTACCTTATCATCATAATTTAAGGCTAAGTAACAACAAAGAATAGATAAAACTATAAATGTTATAAAAAAAACATACATATGTTCAGTAAACATAACTTAAAATATTAACTTTTTAATAATTTTGGTTCAATCAAAAATTTTATGAACAATATGTGTAACCTAAACTGTTAAAACATATTAATAAAAAGTTAACATTTTAGGTTACGTCTGACTGAAAATATTATATTTTTTATAATTTTTTCAGATGTATCTGTTCCTAATCATTTCTTAGTTTTAAATTAAAGGGTAAACTATATAATTGACAACCAAACTACGTAGCCCTTTTATTTTTGTCAATGATCTTTTAATTTTGTCAATCAGACTACCTAACTATTTAAATGGTGTCAATTAAACCATAACCCTTAACTTTAGACAGAAATGTTGATGTGAAAGCTAACAAAATTGATATAATTATACATTCTATCAATTTAGTCTTAAATTTAATTTAATAAATTTAATCCACCAATCAGACGGTGACACATATCACCATTAGATTAAATGTTTTTTCTATAATTTATATTTTTTTAATTTATATATTCATCTTCCGGTCACTATCTGGTTGAAGGAAAATCAAATACCAAATAGAGGCATAAGAAGAAGGGAATTGGGTGGAACAGAACTCGGGCATTTAGAATAGCTATGCGCGTGTCATACCACGAGGCCAAAATTCAGATTTGTTTTAATTTAACAATAATGTATATATTTTAATTATTGCTAAGGAAAAAAGATGTAAGTTAAATCGAATCTTTATAATATAATTAATAATTTTATTTTTATTTAAAAAATAAAATATATGAATCATCTATATTTTAATTAATTTTATAAAATTGTTCAGTTCAAAATATGTAATTTAAAATTGATTTTAATCGTGATATATAACTTAAATTACACATTTTAAACTATACAAACTTATAAAAAATTATTAATTAAATTAAAAATATTCAATTTAAAATTATATAAATTTAAAATAAATATATAAAATTTAAATTTATTTGTTATTTTAATACTGTATAAACAGTATTTAATATGTGTAAAAAAGCCTACCCATTTGTTCTTAAATGTAAGGCTTGTTCTAGTGGTTTGGGTCTTTTAAGTTTTATTTTGTGGCAGTAATTAAAATATATACATAATTGTGTACATTAAAACCAAACTTGGAGCTTGGCTTGGCGGTATGACGTGCGCATAGCTAACCCAACATCCCATGTTTGATTACCCCGACGCCTTTGTTCTTATACTCTATTTGGTATTTGATTTTCTTTCAATGGTTGGAAAATGAATATATAAATTAAATAAATATAAATTTTGAAATCATTAAAGTTCTAAAAATTATAAAAAGTTATTAAATTATTATAAAATAAATTTAATATAAATAGTTATTAAATTATTATAAAATAATCATTAAATTTATGATTGTTTGATAGCATAAAATAATTACTTTATAATAATCCATTAAATTTACTATTTTATATCTTCTGAAAATTTAATAAAGAAAGCATTTCAACAGAATTCAACTATTAGTTGTATATTTAACCAAAATAAAAAAGGTCCTTTTATTGCGTGGCTGGTCAACTTTTGAGTTGCTCATAGCGTGGCCGCCTCCAAAACCACTGTTATATCTTTTGCATTGCTGGACCTGTCTCATTTCTCAAACCATCTCTTTCCAATGACCCAAAATGACCACTATTCAAAACTACAATGATAGGTTCGTTTTGTTTCTCAAAGAAGCTTGAGACACATACAAGACATGGCACATCCAAGATCTGAAATTATGTTTGTAAAATGAAAATGAACACTTAATCACGTCTTACAACACATTTTTACATGTGTGAAACAGGCTTACAGTGCATAGCAGTAAAGCTTGAAAATGAAAATGAACACTCAACACTCTGATTGAACCTCGTTGAAAGACCTGCATGTGTGAAACAGGCTTTGTGGAAACATAACATAGCAGTAATGCTTATCTCAATTCACATTTTACAGGGACTAGCAACAGAGGTTTTCGAGAGAGTCGTAAGCAAGAGAGCCGGTATAATGTTCAACCAGTTTCTTGCTCAAACTCCTCACCGTCTGATTCTTCCGCATTGTCGGCATCATCGTCATCTGCGTCGTTATCGTCTTCTTTATCATTATCAGCAGTTGTCTTCCCAATAACAACCAAATTTCTGTTAGTATCCCTGATTTCATTCAACTGCAAAAGTAATCATTACACACTTGTCAACAAAACCAACAGCAGCAAACGCATGAACCTGCCTCGAGTTATAAGGTAAAGTGATGTAACTTACTGATATCATAAGCTATTTGTAACCCAACATGAGAATTTATGAAAAATAACATAAAGGGAAAGAGGAAAAAGATTTCTCCAATCTTTCAAGTTGACTTTCTATACAAAATTCATTACATAAGAAACCCACTAAATCACCAGAAAGACAAAGTTCAGTATTTCAATCCAAGCAGCAAAGAGAGCAAATGGCATTCATTAAATCTTGCCCAATTAAAATGACATGATCATTTATTTTTCAAAAACGATGTACGCATTACTATAAACCTAACAATTATGTGATTACATTAACTCATTTCCGAGAAAGCGAATAAAAATTATATTTATGTGACAGGGGGGAAACCCTAGAAGAGGGGGGTTTAGAATTTGAAATTACCTTGTCTTCGAGATTAGATTCCTCCATGGCAAGAAGGAGCTCTTCGTTGTGGGGTTGGGGCCATTGAGAAGGAAGCAGATGCGAGGGCGGAATGGCCCTCGCCGTAGATGGGAACTGCGTCATGAACGCCGGGAACTGTAGCATCCTCTCCTTTCTATTTTAAATGTAATCTTTCAAAACATCACAGCTTGTGCGAGTGGCTTGGTGATTTAAATCTACATTCCTTTAATTAGATGTTGCCTTTTGGGCATCTCAGTTTTCCATTCGGCCCACCTAGCCCGCTTATTGGTCCAAGCTTGAGCATATCTAAAAGTAAAATGCATAGAGGACAAGTTCTAAATTGGTTAATGTTTTTCTTTTAATAACATATGTAAGAACAAGATAGTATCTGTTTAAAGATAACTTTTAATCATTCGTCATTGAATGCTTATACTTTTAGCATTCTTAGTACTCGATCCTGGGACCTCAAGAATTAACGATGATTTCTTTACCACCAAGGTCGCTTGATTCGTACTAATTAATGTTTTTAAATCAATTATTATTTTAGTAATGGTTTTTTTGTCAATTTAATCATTATTTATGATAAAATAAACTTTTTAATAAAGGTATTTGTTGGGATTAGATGAAGCTCAATTGAACAACCGAATAATTTGCCAAGAGGGGTGAATTGACTTTTTGAGTTTAGGTAGTAAGGAGTATAAAAATGAAACAATTTGTACAAGGATTTATAGTAGTTCGATTTCTCAACCAAATCTACATCCACTAACTAAGCTCCTCACTTAGGATTTTCTAACAAATTCACTAATTTGTTCTTTCTTTTTCTAGGACAAAGAGATAACCTTTACAACTCCCTAGCTTTTCAAAGGCTAAGCTAGAACCAACCCCCTTTACACAAGGTTAAAAGAAGTAAACAATAAAACCTCTCAAAGGTAGGGTGTTTACAAGAATTAAGCTCACAAAAAAACAATTAAAATATTTGCAAAACACTTATGCATACGAGAAAAAGGAAAATAAGAGTGAAAGAGTTTTTCTCTTGATCTTAATTGCTTAGATAGGTGTTGTAACCTTCTTCAAATGTCCTCAACTTGTTTTTATATGTTGGAATGAGTTTGTGGTCGTTTTTAGCTGTTGGGGTTAATTTTCTACAAAATAAATGGCCCAGGATAGGGACTATCACTACTCCTTTAATGAGTATCGGTACTGCTTTTGTAATATTTAAATAAACTAGCCGTTGAAGACTGTTGGGCTTAACCAGTATCGATACTATGCTTCATGGTATCGATACCACTGTGTAAAGTAGTATCGGTACCCCTTGAGTATTGGTACCTATTTTGTATTCTGGAATTTGAGTAATTTGGAAAACAACTTGTAGTATCGATACTACCTATAGAGTATCTATACTTCTCTTACCTTTGGTATCGGTACCACATGAACCATATCGGTGTTGTTCATGTAGTATTGATATTGTAAAACAGTATCGGCACTACGTACCCAGTACACTGCTTTGTGCTCAAATTCTAGCTTATTGGACTTTGAATTATTTTTGAAAACTTTGAACAAATCCAATCAAGTCCAAAAACATTTTGCCTTAATTTGTTATATCAAAATATTATAAAATATAGTTAAATGATCTTCCCTTTTTGATATAACAAAACATTTGAAAAATTGTTTTGGCAAAACACTCCCTTAATAAAATATTTCTTGAAAAAGTTAAATATTTGAAAAATATTAAAGCTTCCCATTTTTCATTCTTGAAATTGAATTTTTCAAACTCATACTTCTCTCCCTTTTTGTTATATAAAAAATAATTCAAATTTAAAGTTAAAAAATAACAATGGAGAGTAAGTGGTAAATTTTAGCATAAAATCATTTGAAAAATCAAAGTCCCCCTTCAATAGAAGCATTCCAAACAAAAATTTGACTTTAAAATCTTGACACTTAAAAGACATTGAATTTCAACAAAGATGAACAAACATGTTAGCAGCACATGAAATTCAATATATCAAGGTCTAATATACTTTATTCAATACCAATTGTTGTATTTAAGTGCATGTGCATAAAGCTATCAAAAAAATGTTATGCATTTGAAAAATTGATATAATTGTTAGAGAGATATCATTTGCAACAAATCACATGCATAAACATTTAAATTAAGGTCAAAAATTAAAATTTGTAAAAACAAAGTATTAAAACCAATTTTGGCCAAAATTCATTATGATGAACAAACATTTATGAAAAATCATTAAAACTTTAGAAAATGTTCATCACAACATTTTTTAACATACATGAGATATAAAACATAAAATTATTTAAAATCAAAACTCATGCATGCTTAAACTAAATGAGCAACCAATTATGCAAGATAATCAAAATAAGCTTAGAGGTTACCCATTCCATATCAAGATTGGCTAAAGCATTTGAATATCTTCACTTTCATCACCATTGCTCCCACACATCTACAAGAGACATTTATGTGGATTTTGGTATCCAAATTGCTTTGGATCCTTGAATGTTAGTTTCAATGCCCCTTGTTCCCTTAGGAATCCATACTTGTCTAATTTTAAAACGTTTTCCTTTCTTTAAAGGACAAGTATGTTCCATACGACCATGATAATGACAATGTGAGTATTTTGTTATTATGAAATTAGATGAATTATTTAAAATGATTTCCTTTTCTTTTGTTAAGCATTCAAGCCTAACATTTAAATCAAAACTTTCTTTTTCAAAATATTCAATTTTCATTTTTGAAAGCTCTAAATCCTTTTTCAAAATTTCATTTTGTTTTTCAAAATCAACTTTTGCTTTCAAAAGAAAATTATTTTCAACTTTAAGTTTTGAAATCATTTTCTTGTATTTGGAGTTCATGGTTTCAAATTCCAAAAATAATTCATCATATACATATTGTAACTCATCAAAAGAATATGAATCGGATTCATTAGAGTTATAAGATAACTTGGCCTCTTCAAAAGCCATTAAGAACACCACCTTTGTTGGTTCTTCTTTCTTATTTTCATGGATCTCTTCGAGATTATTTCAAAGCTCTTTGGCATTTGAACAAGAAAAAACTCCTTCATAATCATCGAGACCAAATGTACAGAACATGTGCATGGCCTTAGCATTTTGTTGAGTTTTCTTCCGTTCTTGGGCACTCTACTCCTTCATCTTCTTCTTTGGAGAAAAGTAGTCGTTCTCGATCATCTCTCATGCATCAAGATCATTGGATTGGATGAATATATTCATTAGTTTCTTCCAATGATGGTAGTTGGCTCCATTGAAGTATGGAGGTTTGTCGATCAGTTGGGAGTCTTCCATGTGGAACGAGCCCGAGATGGAAGTCATTATCTCGGTTGTGTCGAAAATGAATAGAGCTTTTTCAAGGATCGTCTCAAGGTTGTTAGACATTCTAATGAGTGTAACTCTGATACTAATTGTTGGGATTAGATGAAGCTCAATTGAACAACCGAATAATTTGCTAAGAGGGGGTGAATTGACTTTTTGAGTTTAGGGAGTAAGGAGTATAAAGATGAAATAATTTGCACAAGGATTTATAGTGGTTCAAATTCTCAACCAAGTCTACATCCACTACCTAAGCTCCTCACTTAGAATTTTCTAACAAATTCACTAATTTGTTTTTTCTTTTTCTAGGACAAAAAGATAACCTTTACAACTCCCTAGCTTTTCAAAGGCTAAGCTAGAACCAATCCCTTGTACACAAGGTTAAAAGAAGTAAACAAGAAAACTTCTCAAAGGTATGGTGTTTACAAGAATTAAGCTCACAAGAAAACAATTAAAATATTTGCAATGAGCTCAAAACACATATGTACAAAAGAAAAAAAAAAGAGTGAAAGAGCTTTTTTCTTGATCTCAACTGGTTTGATAGGTTTTGTAACATTCTTCAAGTGTCTTCAACTTGTTTTTATATGTTGGAATGAGTTTGTGGCCGTTTCTAGCCATTGGGGGTTAATTTTCTGCAAAATAAAATTGCTCAGGACAGGGAGTACCGATACTCCTTTAATGAGTATCGATATTGCCTTTGTAATATTTAAATAAACTAGTCATTGAAGACCGTTGGGCTTAACCAGTATCGATACTATGTTTCATGGTATCGATACCAATGTAAAGTAGCATCGATACCTATTTTGCATTCTAGAATTTTAGCAATTTGGAAAACAAATGGTAGTATCGATACTACTTAGAGAGTATCGATACTATCTAGAGAGTATCAATACTTCTCTTACCTTTGATATCAGTACCACATGAACAATATAGGTACTGTTCATGTAGTATCGATACTGTAAGAACAGTATCGGTACTACGTACCCAGTAAATTGTTTTGTGCTTAAATTCTAGTTTAATGGACTTTGAATTATTTTTGAATTTGAACAATATTTATATTTAACAAAAATTAAGGTATTTAATGATCCTTTATCACTTAAATATTTATGAATAGTTTTATTATTTGTTCAATCTTTTAATAAATTTATATTATATGAAGTAATTATAATACATAAATAATATCATTGATAAACTTGATATATATGAACTTCAAGATTTTGATTATTATATTTATTTAATATGTTGATTTACGAGTAGTCATAATGATTATATGTTTGATACCATTAACTAGAGTCATTATAAATATTCTTTAACCATTATTGAGGAGGGATCACATATTAACTTCTTTCTAGTGGCTAATTCAGAAATATTTTTTTAAGGTATGCACACATAAGTTGACAACACACAATTTTTTGAATGAGGTGGCCACAAATAAAATTTTAGGGTGGCATCATCAGTAAAATAAGGAACTAACCGAAGAAAATTCAAATTTCAGGATGAGTATGTTCCCACCCTGAACTATATGTGGCTCCGCCATTGCTTCTTCCTCCTTTGCTCCTATATCTTTATTATACTTTTATTTCAATCACAAAAAATTATTAATGGTAATTTCCTTGTTGATCACGACTCTCCATTTAATTTAAAAAATAAACTATTATAATTAACTATACAAGTATATTTTCATCAACAACTAATATATGTATATTTAAATTACAATAAAAATAATTTTATTGAATGGAGTTTTTCTTGATTTATATCTTATATGTTATTCTCTATATATAGTGTATATCTTTCTTTTGGCACAAAAGATGAAAAGGAAAGAAAAACGACTAAAGTTTATATACTCAAAA